ACTGATCGGTTGAGACAAATTGATACAAGTGATTGTGCAAAAGTTACAGTCTATGTAGGATGACAGTAATTACACCACGAATATTTGACCGCAGTATTATAGTATAGGCCTAATATCGCAGCAGAAATAAACCCTATGACTTGAGGGAAATTAAAACAAATATTTGTCTTGAAAATTAAATTGTGTTTTTAGTACACAACCATGTACCTCAGGGAGACGTGGAAAGGGTTATCTCCCTTTGTGTACTGTTTGTCGCCCACCACACGACGCTAACGGACCAGGCTAACTCCTCAATTATCGTACGTAGACTCTCCAACTTATGTACAAATAACTTGAATCGATTTGTTTTGTCAGATCAATATTTAGTCGCTTTTAAGCACATGGGGTCTGTCCCCCCCAAAAAAATGCTGTTTTGAGAAAATCGGAGGTAAAGTTTTTGCCCCCTTGTTCAGTTTCTTTAAAAGACAAGGAGAGTTTTCTCTATAACGAAACAAATATAAACACCAACGAAACCAAATTTCTCCTGTAGGTAGGGCAATGCCCACTTTTTGGTGTAGGTCAAAATTTCTAGAAACCCACGAGATCTGGGTTAGCCCGCTTGTACTTAAAAGCGACCATTTATTGCGTAAACACTATTCCCCACCTACAGCGGGGATACAGATCATGTAACGGGCACTTTTACCATGCCAATCATAAGAAACTTAGTGGGGGTGGGGGTGATTTCGTATAATGATCTAGACTTCAAGGTCTTGTACCAAACAGGCAACCAGAACCCGACATCGCAACCAATCACTCACCTTCGACAGACAAGACCAGGCATGCTAGGGCCACTGCACATGCAGCCAACTTGAAAGACATTGTCGTCGACTGATCTTCTTTTTCTGTCGAGTCGAATTAAAAAAGAGAATAATGGCCTTAATCATTTCATCACAAGTCTGACATACAAATAGCAATGTGTTCCCTCTAACTTAAGGGGGAAATTGAAACAAAAACTAAACATTACAAAGAGAATTAAAAAATATGGACGTTTTGTTAATGTGTTGGTGCTGTTGGCAATGCCATTGCTACTACAGCTGAATACAAAACCACTATAGAGTTAAAATCGTCTCATTCTATTACAAACATCTGCAGCTCATATGAAAGGAATGTTTTTTAAACACCTTTCCAGAATAGCAGAAACAAGCCAGACTGAACAAATACTGGTGCCGGTATAGTAAAAGGTCTACAGCGCCAGGGCTGTCTACCATAAATATAAGTCCTGCCCGATGGACCAATCTACTGTGACCTAGCGTCGCTCAAGTCCCGTCTGACTGACCACGGTAGCGACAGAGCTGGGAGTATTTAGACCAAAGGTGATGGTGTTCCACAACAGCGGTGTGTGTGGGTGGATTGCTGATTTTTGCTGAGTCGTTTAGATCGAAGAATTTTGTGGTTGTAAAAATTATCACGATATGATTGTCAAGTGAGTCGCGACAATACGTGACCAGACGAGATTATTTTCAGGAAATCGAGAGGAGCTGGGGGGGGGGGGGGGGGGGTCAGGAGTCATGAGCAGTCCGCCTGAAACCACCCCCTCCTTCGCCACAACTTCCCCCTTCCCCCTTCCCAGTCTCAGACAATCTGCAACCTCAAAAACAATTTAATATGGCAAAAGAGTCCCCTGCCTGCATACACGCAAAGGAAAAAAGTGAACAGATCCTCGTTACAAGTCCTGAGTCTGTATAAAGTGGCACACCTACAACAAAATCGCTTGCCAGACCGGTCCTGTGGTAGACCGTAACTAAACCAGAAAAGTCGCGGTAGACCTTCAACGAAACCGGCTCCTAAAAATGTTCTTCCTTTCCAGAAATAAATAAATAACCACAGCACAACAGCACGAGGCTCATTTAAAAAATCGTCTGCAGGTGACACGTGCATGAAACTTACCAGACTGGTATTGTCTTGCTGTGAGACCAGATTAATATATTATTCTGATACCCTCATGACCGAGAGAACAATGGGCAGATTCAATGCTGAATTCGGAATTCAGAATTCGGTGGAAATGTGAAGCAAAATTCGAACTCCTCGAATCGACCGAATGATTAAAACTGAACACGAATCAGCCCTGCAGAGGAAAAACCCTTTTTTTTGTTTGTTTGTTTGTTTGCTTTTTGTTTGTTTGTTTGTTTGCTTTTTGTTTGTTTTTTGTTTTGTTGTTTTCCTTTAAAACTTTAAAAAGCTATTCTTTTATTCATGATTGAATCTCTGGCTGAGCCTGACATTTTCGCTTGGATTCTGCCTGTTGACACCAACAGTGTCACGACGTGGTGGTGTCGCCCATTTCTGGGCATACTCTAAGGTATCAAATAAAAAGGGGTGGGGGGTAGGAATAAAAGGGGGTGGGGTGGACAAGTGGTCTGAATTAATA